CTTGTGCAGGACCATGTTCAACGAGCGTCTCAGGTTCGCACTAAAAGTCTTCTAGCTTCAAGGCGGGCTGAGCCACCGTTTAGAAGATCCTGATTCATGGGAGATTGCAAGAAAGCATGCCATATGCGCGTCCGCAACCTTCTTGAATACTGATCCATCTACAGTAGCTTGACAGTGAACTGCAAGCAACTTCCCACGCCCAGGTTCAAAGGTAGTGGATTCCAGCCAAGCAGAGATGTTCGTCAAAAGGCCGGGCCCTCTGTAGGCGGTAGCCGGGCAATCTTGTGACTTGAGCTGAAAGTTGCGGAATATTGCAGAATCTGTGTAATAGCGACTGCACAAAGAGGACCCAGCGCACATGCTTCTTGTGTGCCTGCTGCACTCTGCTGCAGATTCGGAATGATCGATTTTCGGACACACTTGGATGCAACACAAAGATTACGTATGTGAACACAAGATGACGTGACCATTTCTTTCGGCCTGACATGTCAACAGTTCAGCAATATGTGGATAGTGGTGGAGGATGCCATAGCAAAGTCGATAGCAGAGACTGGTACCAGGACGGCGAGCGGGAATCCTGTCCTGCTGTCAGATGACTTGCGGGACTCTGCGAAACATGGCGGCAAGTGCTAAAGTGCCTTCATTACCTGGAGCTGTAGCTGCACCTGAAACCTCATGGCAAACTGATGCCTCCTACTTCGCGAAGCTAGCACGGAACCTCAAAACTAAGAGAGCCGCGCGAAGACTGTTCTAACGCGGCCTCTTCAGGGTTTGGGAGAGGGCAAGAGAAGTGATCGTCTTGTTCATAGAATTCTAGGAGACAAGTGGAAATCTTGGGAGGAAGATAGAGGCCTTCAGAAGGGGCCAGAAAATCCACTCTTCTTCGGATAGCTCAAGAAACGCTTCCATCAACATGTGCCGATGGCACGAATTAGTCCAGGATGGGCAGTACCCTTAGGTGCTGCATACCATGATGGTCCCTGAACCTCACTCTGGGGACACTAGTTTTGGTAAACTCCCTTTTGAATCTCTAGGGCAATCATGCAACGCCTAGAGTACCCCTTCAGCAAGTCATAACTGCTACGGAATCCCTTCAAACCTCGTATGGCACCATGTCTCAAGGAAGGTGGATCTTCAGTCCGTCGAGAGCTGCCTGGCTAGATGCTGGAGTTAGGCTGACATCTGTGATCTTCATAGTAGTTGGCTTGTTCGGGACTTCTGTGGACTTCCTGCGTACTTGAAATTTCTCAAGATTGTCGCTCGCGACCTCCTCCTAGAAGGAACGTATTGTTTGGAAGGGTACATTGCGTGGGGATTGGAGACGCTGCTTTCGCATGAGCCCACGACAAGGTAGGACCATCAAGTGTTCCGGACCTGGCTTGTAAAGACTGGAACTTAGACATCGAACAGGTCTCAGCCTCCCGTCCACCACTGCTACCGATATTCCTACAACAGTTTCAGAGATTACCGTACTTTTTGGTACTTGGGGCTCTGAGCTTTGACTGAAATGGACCGCAAGGCACACAGCCAAACGTTCGTGCTCCGCAGTCTGGGCGGCTTTGCTAAGTTGACACATGCAATGCCGTTGCGAGGTAGGGTGCTCCTGGTCAAGCTTCCAGCTTGGACTTCGGGTTTGGAATTGGCATCATGAAGAATTTCAGAGAGCCCCATCCTGGGTTTGCATCAGCACCATGTATCGTCCGCGTCTTTACAGCGCATTTCTACTTTGTAGATTAGAACTTCCGGGAGTTGTTTTTGGAGTCATATATGTTTCAGCTGCCATGCATGGCGTATCCGCACGCGAGCAGATTGTGCTACTTATCGCTTTGCAATTTCTGGGACCCCTTGAGAAGCATGGAATGTTTCAAGCATCCAGAGAAGGCACCAAAGAGAAAGAATTAGGAATTTGTTCAACATGTTTGCGGAATTGTCAGTGGCCAAAAGCCTATAAGCCTGTGCATTAAGTGCAACGGGGCGGTTTCTGCCATCCCCTTCAAGATTCTGGGACCACAGCAGGTTGCATGAGGAAGCTTCACTGCGCATGATCTTGCCAAGTGGCACACACTGCAAGCGGCCGCAGTTAATGCAATGGTAACGGAATCACTTTGTGGAAAGTGCTGAATGGTCTCAGAATCCATGCTTTCAGATCCCATGCCTATTCAGGGCCGCTACCCCCGCCCTTGGAAAAGGCTGTCTTGTCTTCAACCCTGACACCCCAATCCTGCTGCCAGCATTACGCAAGCCAAAAGCTCCTGCCAAGGAGAAGTCAGATTGCTGCCATGCCAACCTCCTCAAGGCAAGTCTGGTGGCATAGTTACAATTGTGTCTGGATACGCGCACCTGGATTGTCTCAGTTCGGAGTGAGGGCTTTGAAGAAGCTGGCTCAATGAGTTTGTGAGATCTGCATTGCACAGGAGTTGTGGGGCTTTGTGAATGGTAAGCACATTTACGATTGCAGCTGCTACAATAACAACGTATCATGATGGTGCCAGCAGCTGATTCCAACATGTGTGCAATTCCTCCTTGTGACTTAGCAAATTCAAGGCGATGGCGCTATTCATGATGAATATCTTCGTGCTCATGGTAGCAGTGAAGAAATGATGGCGGTGGTGGTGGGGACGATGATGATGATGATGATGATGATGATGTTGCTGTTGTTCAAGACATTCATGACTATCACTATCCTGACCGTGTGTTCGCAATTGAGGAGCCGTGGCGGAAGCAGCGCGAGTGGAAGCACCGTGGCGAAACGAAGAAGCTAACAACAGGGATATGTAGACGGAATGGATCCCGACGAACCATCCGCCCAAGGGCGATATCATGGCTAGCATTGTTTCTAGTCGATCTTGACACATTCAGCAGAGCCCCCCTGCCATTGTCACATGCAGATTGTAGCCCTGCGAACTTCAAAGGTTTGAGGGCTCTGGAGCTTGTGCTGAGTTCTGGCAAACTCGCCGGTTTCTATCTCTGGTTTTGTTTGTTGCTGACGTTGGTTGGAGTTGTACCCTCTAGGGGGGGGGGTTCCGAAACGTTCTGTACGTTTTATCTCTGGTGGAGCTTCTCCCCTGTCAGCATCAGTGGGACAAACAGTGGATCCAACATTCGAATCGTGGAGCCGCAGCAGCGCCAGCAAAGGCAGTCATACCCGATATAACGATGATGTGAATACTAGAACTTGCAAGCGATAATACTCAAAATGCTGAACTCATGCAGGTAGACGGCACGACTCCCGTGTGACTCCCGGGAGACCGTGAGAGAACTGGAAGAAGCTTGAGCAGAGAGAACTCTCGAGTTTAAATTGAAAAGATGCCGTCATTCGTTGTACGATCTTCTCTATGCGGGCTCTTGTCCACAGCTGGCAAATCCTCGCGCACAATGTTGGAGCCTGAATATCTTCATTCATTGTGACTTCATAACCCTCGTACCATTGCAGTGGAGGAACCTCCTGTCTGGAAGCAGGTTGTTGCGATCCCGTCTCAAACTTCTTCTGCATGGCACGCAAGTTGCTGTGCCCTGTGATGCTCGCGAGATCTTGCATTTCCAGTTGATGTGTCAACAAACCACATGTGTGCCTGAATTTTGGTCTGGGAACCTACACATGAAACCTAGTGCAGAAGGTAAGCCATACTGGTCTAATATAATGTGTTTACATTTCGTTGCACAGCTGGTCTGTCAAGTGTTTGTGGCGTTAGGGCCAGCTGAGATTGCTCAAAGAGAGACTTAAAGGGGGTTCCAGTTTAAGGTTCTCCCATCAAGGTGTGTAAATAGCATGCGCTTGCGCTCTAGACATTGCCATAATTACAACTTTTGGATTATCCCTTTATAAGCCCGACTCAAACTCCTCCGTTAATTTGATGAGTCAAGGTGTGCCCGCATAGTGGTACAGCAGCGGGGCAGAGGAAAGAATGTTTCGCGTAGCCAGCCTAGACCTCTCAAGGTAACATAGTTTTCGCCGCCCAGACAGCGATGAGCACACTCCAGAAGCAAAATGTCATGTCATTTTGTTGTTTGTCACCGTCCGATGGAGATCTCTTGGAGCAAAGGGGCCAAAGAATACGCACCAGACATCTTGCAACACTCCGCCGCGACAGCAAGCGACAGCAAAAAGAGGTTCCGGACCTCTTGAGAACGCCTGGGGTCAAAAGTTAGGAGCCTTCATGGGTAGAAGTATCCCTCAGGACCCCCAGAGACTATCATCTCCCCCACCCCCTATGTCTAGTTATTCAGTTCTGTGGTTGGGCTCTAAACCCTTCCAAAAGGCTCGAGGCTCAGGGTATCAGATTTCCGCCGTAGACACGGTACTTAAAATTGTGTATCGTTATGAGCCTAATTTGTGAAGAGTTCGGGGCTGGAGTTCAGGCTTACTCAAAATGATCAGGGGTAGCTTAAGGGAGCCTCTAGACCCTTGGAATATGTAAGATCATAAGGGATTGCGTGAATCTACCCAATGGATTCTGCAAGAATCATCATAAGATTCTCACACATTAACGGCTGAAAGAGTGCCGATAGTACTGCCTCATCTTCATTGTATGGATTTGCTAAGGCCTACCCCCAAACCCTGTTGCGCAAGATGCGTTTTCTAGTTGGGTGGTACCTCCATAATTGACGGCGCCTGTTGGCCAGATGGTAATACAGATGCTGAGGAAGCATGTTGGGACCAGCTTGGGTATCCTGGAATTCAAAGTCTCCTAGCCTTCAAAGATAAGGGCGCCGACAGGCCTTCACCGTGACCGTTAGATTGGAGCAAGAAGATTTGGCAAGATTTGGCATGCTTTGCCAAAGCTTGCTGGATTCAGGGCGTAGGGTTTGGTGTTTGCAATTCTATGGTTCAATTCGTAAGCGAGGTGTCTTGCTTTTCGGGCCTTGCAGAAGGCTACTATGATAATATTTTGGATGCCTTTGGCTTAGGATCACAGTAATTGGAGTTTCAGGGCCTGGCTGCCCTGCTTCCCAGCCCAGTGTCTTCTGCTACAGAGCCTTGAGAGTTCTGATTCTCCCAGGTGACAGCTCCCAGCTACATCCCATATGAGGCTGGGTGGAAGGTTCTTATCTCATGGGGTTTCTCATCATAATTTCATTGCCATAGCTGGATGCATCCGCGAATTTCAGTATTGTAGCTGCATGTCAAGCGATGCAGTTCTATGAGGCGAGCACATAGCACTTAGCAGCTTCCGAAAAGTAGAGGACCAAAAGCAGTGTCCAAATCAGAAGTACCTGCAGCCAAGGCACGAAATCCCATCTCTGCTGTAGATCTTAGTCCTTAACTCGCATTTGCGGAAAGTCCGCTTCGGCCAGGGCTACCCCTCTGCAGAGTCAGCAAGTGGCCGGGGACTGGAGTTCCAGGAGCAATAGCTTGATGCACAGAAGAAGCCCTGAAGAATGAGTAAGGAGACCCCGAATTTGCTAATGCTCTCTTTTAGTGCAAGGTTGTCCTAGCAGTACGTAAACCAGTCAGTGCAAGGCCTTGGGCTTAGCCTGCGGGTTGATGCTTAGAGAGGGTGTTGGAAAGGGCATTTGTTCTGGTTCCTCTTTTGGTGGTCGCTGTGCTTTTCAAGGGTTGAGCGATTGGGTCGCAAAATCATGGAAGGTCTTGGACACTTCCGTTAACTACACTGCCCACCTTCCCAGGCACACTGCGCGACGGCATCACTACGCAGGTCTCAAATCTCCGATTCGCACCTTTTCATCCCCATGCGAACCAAGCGTAACTACGCGGAGTAGTGACGGGCACGTCCACCTTGGGACGTCAGCTGGGGCAACTCTAGTATGGCTGTGTGAGAGTCTTTAGCGAATGTATCTGCCATACTTGAAGGTCAATGAGGCTCAGATGAACCAATGCTGAGCATAAGAGGCTGAGGTGCATCTCAGTGGCGCAGCAAGTGCTTAGGGCATGTGTGCGGAAATCTCTGAACATGGTTTTGTGCACTTACCGATGATAGGACTGCGCATCGGGTCTTTTTTAGACAAGGGAGCAGGTGGTCTGCTTGCTGGACTCGGGACCAGATGGCGCTTAGACATGCGAACGTGGGGTGACGTTTCAGTGTTGGCATACTGACCTGTCTCTAGCTGCAGCCATGAGCCCTGGCAAAGGCCCTTGAGACAGAGCTTGCATGCTAGAACTTATGACTTATGTTCAGCATCCGTGGAAGTCGTCAGAGAGGCAATCCTTGTGTCAGTCTTTATCAAGGCTTTGTAGGCCCTCACCTTATACTCTACTGGGAACCTGGAAATTTCCGTGCTCACCCTGAAGGAGAGAGGCTCATTTGTTCCACCACCCCCGCCGCAGGCAGTGGCAATTGCGAGATGTTATTCAAGCATTGCAGTTGTGTGCAGTCACACAGGTACAGGTAAGCACCCTGTATGTCATCACGGATAGCCCGCCGTCTACACATTTAAGGTCATTGTGTGGTTTTGATGTTGGAAAGTACGTTTGTCGGAGAAAAGACCTGCAGCAGTTTTCTGCTGCGTCAGCACAATGGGGTGTGACTGTTGATGGGATAGTGTTGGTGTTCATTTCATGGCCTTTTGTTGTTGTTCAACGGCACAGTATGGCAACTTTACCGTAGCGTCAGGCGTGGGCCGTGCTGTTTTACGACAAGTCCGTCAGCCGTAAAGCTTCAGTAGTGCAATTGTAGCTACAGGCAGGCTGGAGGTAGAACACTTTGGACAGAATTTTGGTGTAGGCCTAAAAAGACGAACCTGTTTCCAAAAACAGTCAGAGGGCTTTCAGTTTCAGGAATATTTCAGGGCCTCAAATATGGTAAACTCATATTTCAGGGCCTCAAATATGGTATTTTCGTTTTGGTTTCGGCAGGAAACTGAAGTCCCTCCACCTCCGCCGCCGCCCTCACAATGAGGCGGGTTCATGGTCTAAGGGGGATATTGGGGTTATTTTGGGATTATATAGGGGTCATATAGGGATTATAGGGGTTATATAGGGATACTGGAAAAGAAAATGGAATCTACTATAGTAGGGCTTGGGCTTAGGAGGGAGATTCTCAATGATGGTTGGGTTCGTGGTCTTCCTGAGGGAGATGCAGATTCATGTAAATGTGTAAAGTACAGTAGCTTCCGCGTGGTTTATGTTGGGATGAATTAAGTGAAATTTTGGGTGTGGCAGGTCAAGACGAAGAAGTGAGAGCGCACCTTGAAACTTCAGGGCGCGGCATACCCCCACACATGATTGAAGCCAATGCAATTGTAGAAGCATTTGGTGAACAGGCAGTTATGTTGGGATAACGGAAAAGAAAGTGGAAGCTACTATATAGCATATTGGGGTCTTGCTCCTGTTCAGATCAAGGCAAGGCTTGTTGTCTCTTTGCTCATCAATAATCGACAGTTGTGGCCTCACAGCCTACTCATACCCAACCATGTTGTCGTGGCACAGAAGTGTCATAGGACTCCTTCTGGTCAAGCAATAGAAGGCATCAATAAGAAATGGCTGATGGCTTTCAAAAGTATGTGCAAGTTCTGCTCGACCCTTCGGATTCCTGAAACGCGCTCTTGCTTTGCAACTCTCGTCCCTGCCAGGATGCCAGGTGCAGTAGGAGCTTTTGGTTTAAAGTTCAGCTTCCAGATACAGAAGTATCCAGGGTTAAGGGAGCTTCGGAGGGGAGGAGGAATACATGGGCCGAAATCAGGTCGATGCATATTGCCCCCACATCCGCCACAACGCCCTGAAATCAATCTGCGCTCTCAGCTGCAGACCCTTACAGGGGCCCCGCTTGTTAAAGAGTTCCTTGTTTTGTGATGGCCACGTGCGCGCCTTGGCAGGGCCCATGCTCTTTGTCAGCTTCCTGAAAGGAAACATGGCTGCTCGGAGTTGTTTAGGCCTGTAAGGGAACAAGGATTTTCGACTGAGGGATTGCGCAGAAATCTGCGACAGGGAGCACGAGTCCTGAATCCATGTTGGGCATGCTGTTGGACTGCTGCCTTTGCAATAAACATAGCCGTTTCTGAATGGTGGAGTCTTCAGCTGGAATAGGTTCACGCCCTAGGCCCCCAAGCTTTGATGAGGCACTTGCCAAAGTCATCGGTTCTGTGCTTAAGCGGAAAGCAGCCAGAATGTCTAAATGGGTCGCAGTCATGTCCATGATTCACCAATAGGCTTCTGCACGGATGCGTCTCCCGAAGAACATACTGGAATCTGAATTGTCTTTTTAAAGCCTTATGCCTAAACCACAACCCACCGAAGCCACAAAAACAAATCTAAACCCTAAGCAACCCCGAGCCCTAACACCACGAGGCCCTAAACCCTCAGACTCCTACCTGAAGTCGGAGGAATCCTTAGCTGCCTTAATTTAAGAAACATAGACCAGGAAATAGATGACATTTTCCCATCAAGGCGCGTTGACCCCAATATTACCCCAATATAACCCTAATATTACCCCAATATTACCCCAATGCAGTCGTAATATTACCCCAATCAATGTAACCCTAATAGTACCCCAATATAACCCTAACATCACCATCACCCCAATGTAACCCTAACATTACCCCAATGTAACCTTAATATCACCATCACCCCAACGTAACCCTAACATTACCCCGATGTAACCCTAACATTACCCTAATATTCAGGTTCACCTAAACCCCAAACCCCTCATTTTTGAATTTCCATCCTCTCCCAAGGCTACTGGATTCCCTGGGCTGAGTCTGTTAGGGTTTCGGGTAAGGGGCCTTTATCTAAGGGCCTTTCGAAGGGGTTTAGGGTTTTGGGGTTTCAACAAGTTGGAAGATGTTAGCGAGGTTATAGCGCGGTGGTAAGAATCTGGATGCTCTTTCTGAGGGCGGCCCTCGGGAACTATGATGCGGTGCTAAGAATTTTCCCGAATCATAGATAGTTCTTGGGAGCATTCACGGTAAACTCTAATCATTAAAGATGACACGAGCCCTGATCATGTTTTTGGGCAAGCTTAAGAACCGGAAGAAATTACATTCAAGGATTTCATCTCTCATTAGTGACTCCAGTGCGGCTCCTTTGTTGCTTGGACTGGGAGCAGTAGCGAACAGATGCCATTGATTCATATTATTTTCGAAACACAAAGTAATCAGACTTGTAGAATCATGATTTTCTGGCTTTGAATCTTCAGAGATTTATTGCCAGATAAAATACTTGACGAGAATCCTACATATATATGATAATAATCTTCCATGAATGGATAAATAGAAATTTTCTTCCTTGATTATTTGTAGAGATATCTTTAAAATCAAGATCTCAATAAAATGAAACGATAGATTGAGAATATATTCAATTAATGATTCATCTATCAATTTCTAGATTATGAAAAAGAATTCTATCGTAATATCAATATATCTATAAACGATAATTTTATTGATATTCTCTTGAATGATGATTTGATTTCTGAAAATATTCGATAGGATATGATATTATTCTTATATAGGAAAATTATATAGGAAAAAATGACGAATATGATGACGGAGATAATGATCGATTCTAATATAGATATTCATATATATGATGAAATTAATATTTTCAAAATTATCTAGATGATAATATACATGGGTCTAAAATGAATTTAATTTTCTATAAGATATTATGAAGATTGATGAGATGAAAATTCTTATATAAGAAATAATAAGGAAGAAATTAATTAAGAAATTTGATATTTAATCTGGAAAATATATATTTATAATCGTTTTAGATTTTTTAATATTTCATATTTCTAGAAATATTATAGAGATATTTCACATTTCTAGACGCAATATAGAGAATCGAATAATTATATTTTATGAGAATGATATGATTATAAATGATTATATCGATTTATTGAAATAGGAGTCGATGCATTTCTAAAAAGAAATATAAGAATAGAAAGCAATCTACTCGTCGAGAGAGATACGATAAAAATAGATAGATAGAATATAGAAATAGATATATATAATTAAATATATAATCTAATGATATAGCAATAGATGAAAAATGCTCCTCTTATTTATAGGGCAAGAATTAAAAATAAATAGATAACGAAAGATAAATAGAGGAATATATATTAAATCATTTGATTGTTCATATGAATTTTGTCATCAAATATTTCTAGATTAATAATATAGATGATATAGATATGATAAATTTTAGAAAATTTCGAAATTTATATATAATATATGAAATGGCAAAATTTCTAATTCTCAAATGAAAAAATTCGAAAATTAGAATTTTAGAATCTATTCGATATAGATTTATCTAAGAAATTAAGGATAATGAATCATATGAGAATCTAAATAGAATCTATTTTATTTTATATGCATAGATATATTCGAATTAATATAATATTTAAAAAAAGGCGAAAGGATTATTTCAGAAATTGAATGCAGAAATTCATTCATTGATATCTTCTTGATAGTGCATACGATATCATTAAGAAATGATAATTCTCTAGATTATTCATATCTATCTATAATTGAATATAGAAATTAAAAGAATCTATATTCGAAATTTTCAATAGTTTAAGAATATAAGGTGATCGATTAAATAGATCAATCGATCTATATATAATATCTAATAAATATGATATTATCAGAAATATTTATATCTATAATTTTGATAGATTAATATTATTGAATAGAGATATCGAGAATTTATATATATTATAATTAATATTCTAGAAATAAGAATGCAATTATTTTTTTTCGATATACCTCTAAATAGAGAGCTTGATATATTCGATAAATTATGAATTCGAATATTTGATAGAGTGTCATGACGAAATAGATTAAAATATTATAATTTTCTTCAAAAAATCATATCTAGAATAGCTCTAAACTTCGCAAATCTAAGATATATATTCTTCACTCTCTAATTATATCCGCTCTCATATATGGGCTCGACTCCTTGATCCTAATAGAACAGACCTCAAAAGAATTGACGATCAATTTTATAGATTCTTATTATTCAGGACTATCGGAATACAGGCTTCTTATTATTCTAGAATCATTAATCTTGAAATTTGGAATCAGGCCGGCAGACCCTGAAATACCGGCAATATCAAATCTCCGTAAATATCTTCCAAATCGATAGAGATAATCTCATACCCAATATAATTTTCGGGTCGACTTTTAAAGACAGAATAATTAATCAAGATCATAAACGCGACATACAATTTCGATATTGCCTTGAATTTAATATTAAGAAATTCTTTCCTGAATATATCGCCTCTAAGGATATTCTCGGACCATATCTATAATTTATTCTATTATTTCATAGCATTTCTTTCCTCGGATTGCCATTGATTTTATCGTTATCTCCCCATTTCGGATTATAAGGAGGCACTTAGCTATTGAAGATTATGCTATTGTCAAGAGATTCAACCAAGCTACCCATGCCCGATGTCGTAAACAAGGGATGGGATTTGAATCCGTTGTCTTTGATCATATAGGAGGCGTGAATGAAGAAGGAGCGAGGATTCTGGATTCGTTGGAAGGCAATTGACGGTCCGACGGGACGTCAGATTGGACGAATGCGACTGATATTATAAGAACGAATCTCTATTGCCCTCCAACGCTATATTAATCAGAGCGTCATGCATAGACGAGCAATCTCTCAAGGAAAATCTCATTTTATATTTTTTGGATATTTTCTTGAATAAATTCTGAAGACGGAATCTGCTTTTAGGAATCCACGCGCAAGACGGATGATTCCAGCTCTGAGATCTCGGAAATATGAGCGCGAGATTTTGGAGAGGATATATTTTCGCCTTTCCTCCCCAATCGTTTGAAGGACCGCTTCTGCGTGTTGTTCTTAGTCTTTCGGCGTCTTCCTTCTCGTCTAATTCGTGGCGTGCGGCGGCGGGATTTCACGACTGGAAGGCGGACGCCGATTCTTCTTGCGATATCCGA